GTAAAGCGTAACTGTGTTTCTTCTTACGCTGACAACCAAATAGACGGCCTCTGCAGAAACAGGGATTTGGTTCAACTCCACAGGGACGACCTTGGAATCACCGCGTTCATCTGCTCACGTTTAAAGAAATATGTCTTCCTGCACTGTCCCCAGTCTTTGCACGGCCCCCTCCCCTGAGCCTTTGGCATGATGTCATGGAAGAATATTCAGTAGGAGACCGAAAGTTCCAGTCTTAACTCCCGGAGTAATCTCAAATAAGCCACGTAGCCTGTCTGTTTAGTTTTACCACTTACAAAATGAGCTATTTCTTTAGTTATACCACAAGCTTTTAGTGATGATACTGATAATACCTCCTAGTAAGATTCTAGTGTACGATGTGATAAAGGATTTCAAATGGATTGCTTTAGTCACAACTTGACCGTCATTTTATATATAAGAAACCTGAAACTACTCTGAAAATACTTGTTGCTACCAAAAAAAAAAAAAAAATCCGCTACCCCCTCCCATGGCTGGCTCCATGGCCTCCATGGTTAAGGAAGCCAGGTTCCATATGCCTGAACACAAAGCTCAAGTCCCAACCCCAGTGGCTTAAAAAACACCATACGGGGACCAGCAGTTAGCATAATGGCTATGTCGCTGGACTCCCATGTAGTCGACCACAGTTCGCGTCCCAGACTTGGTGGCTTAAAACTCACACCGGGCGCATGTGCGTGCGTGCCCAAGACCCCGAGAGGAGAATGGAGGAGAAAGGATTGTGGCGTGGCCATCCCCCCTGGGGGGTGATTTCTCACTTTCTGTCTCTGTCTGGCGAGCACACGCACCCTATAGCAAAAACCTCTAAAAAAAAAAAAAAAAAAAAAACACACACAGCATACATGTGTGCATGCATGCCCAAAATCCTGACAGGACAGAGAAAGGGAGGGGAAGGCGTTATAACATAGCTACATTCCACGGGGGGGAGGGGGAACCTTTGTCTCCCTCCCTCTCTCTGTCTCTCCACCTCTCTCTAGCAAGCCCACCCACACACACACACACACACACACACACACAAAATCAGTGGCTTCACACAGTGAGGTGTATCGCTCACCCACGTAACAGTGCAAATGCAACGTGTCTTGTCAGTGGGTAGCTTTCCTCCATGAAGTGACTGAAGAACCCAGGCTGCTGTCTCATGGCTCCATAAGACCCCAGAACTTTGGAGCTCCAGCCTCTGGTGGCAGACAGGCACTGAGGGTGGAAAAACACAACCCCTTCTCATAACCTTACACTGGACGTAACCCCAGTAACTCCCATTCACATGTTGGTGAGAGCTGGTCAGTGACTCTGTGAGATGCAGGGGGCATTGGAAATCGCAGCTACTGGGTGTGGGAGCTACTCCCCAGAGGCAACGCTGCTCCGTGGAACAGGGAGCATAACTTTATGGTGAACAGTTCATCATCTGCCTGACAGAGTGTTGTGTCACTACCTCGAGGCTACGCAACTAGTAGACAAGGACGCATGCTATCTTCTGATCTGGTTCTGCAAAGCAAATTACCACACACCCAGTAACTTCGAGTAACACATTTTTTTCTCTTCCTGCTCTGGGCCAGGAGCCTGGACCTGGTTCAGCTGGCTTCTCTGCCCCAGAGTCTCGCAAAAGCTGCAGTCAAGGCAGAAGCCTCGGCCTGGACTGAGGAAGGTCAACCAGGGCAGAATCTGCTTTCCACTCATAAAGTTCTTGGCGGCATTGAGTGCCTCAAAGGGATAGGATCATGACAGCTTCCATCTTCAAAGCCAGCAAGGGAGGGAGAGTGCAAGGGAACCAGTTAGCAAGACAGAGTGGTGCATGATGTTGTGAACCCAAGGGAGTAGCCTCCCGGCATCCCTGCTATACTCTACTAGTCAGAAGTACATCACAGATTCACCTGCACTCAAGAAGATTTCACTGGTCGGGACCAACAGATGGCGTAATGGCTATGTCACTGGACTTGCACGTAGTCAACCATGGTTCGAGTCCCAGACCCGGTGGCTTAAATTCACACCGGGTGTGTGGGCATGCATGCCCAAGATCCCTAGAGGAGAATGGAGGAGAAGGGATTGCAGTGTGGCCATTCCCCCCTGGGGGGTGATTTCTCACTTTCTGTCTCTCTCTGTCCTGGCGAGCACGTTAGAAATTTTATATTTAGTAAAAAAAACAAAAAGAAGGTTTCACCGGGCGATGGATTACGGGACCCACCTTAAAAGTTTGTCCATCACGATAAAAAAAACTCAAGCCCAGATTTCCTGCCTACCAATGCACCTCCCTTCCACATAATCATCTGTCCATTTTTGAACCCCATAGTTCTTATCTGCAAAACGAGGATACTGTTTGCATATGACGGATCTACTTGTTCTTAGGCACACATGAAGCCGTGGGTGTGAACCACTCTACAAGCTGTAAAGTACTCTGTAAATGTAGTCGGCTTTATTATCATACCCCCTTGCCTATGGTGCTTCTCTTCTCTCCCTGCCATCTACAGCCTCCTTTTCCCTCCAGGCCCATCTAAATGCTACCTCCCCCAGGAAGCAAGTATGCCCACCAAGACTAGGTCCCTCTTCATCTAAAAATAAAACAAAAGGATGGCTCAAATAACATTGAAGCCAGAATATTAATATAGGTCAATGAAGTCACCAAGGATCACGATGCCTTCCAGATCTCTAGTCTGCCTTACCTAAAGTGTGGCCCTTGTCCTCAAGGCCCAAGATGACTGCTAGAACTCCAGCCATCACATCTCCCAACCAGGCACTTAGAAAGTAAAAATGCTTTTTTATAGGTATTGCTCAGAAGCCAGATTACTGTCCCTTTGGCAAAAATTTCATCCCAGGACTATAAGCGGTTGTAAAAGAACCTGGTAATATAGCTTCCAGTGGGTGTGCTAATAGGGTCAATAAAAGTGGGGCTCTGTTACTAAGAAGGAGGAAGACAGCAAATTTGGGGACAATAAATATTTTCGGCCAGAGGCTATCTTAGGGTCACTGAGTAAACACATCTACTAGAGGGGAGGAATAAACAGAAAGGTCAGTAGTTCGGAACCAGAGAGGTAGGGAGCCTAAAATTCCAGGCTAGGGAGCTAGACTTCATTTGGCATCTAATAAGGAACAGTGACATGATAAAAGGGGCTTTTTGGAAGCTGGGGTTTTGGACTCAGAGAATACTGTTTCCAAGACTGTTGAAATTAAGAAGACAGAAGAAAGGTCCATGCTATGACGACAGAAGAAGAAGTTATAGTTTTGGGTTGCTTTTTTTTTGGTCTTTTTTTGGTTTTTGCTTTTTTTAATCCAGCCATGAATAAAAAGCAGGGGGAAAAAGGGCAAAGAAAACTCAGACGTTGTCAGATAAGCTGACAGAGAGGTGGTGAGACAGGACAGTCTCTGGAGAGCCAGCGTCGATAAATTAGGAAGAGCAATCAGAGCGCCACATCCAACTGCTAGAGTGCAGAAAGACAAATGAGGAACAACACCAAACCAAAAATCACGGCAGGGAAATATTAATAAGAGAAACAAACATGCAAGCGGTTTTCGTGAAGTTCATGGAAAATGCATATTATGAAAAAAAAAAATATATGGACATCCACATGTTTTTGCACCAAAATATTCAGACTCAAATTACATGTTCCCATGGTCTTTTTGCAGTCCCCTCGGATGGCATTTGTGGCTCCATCTCTCATAAGGGTGAACCTTGGGAAAGTCACGTGGGCTCCAGGGACCTTACTTTTCCCATTTGAAAATGAGAACAAGGATCTTTACCTGGCAAGGTACACAGAATAAAGAGGAGCACTCGCACCTAATTTTGTGACTAGACGTCAGAGAGACCTACTTGGGAGTTGCCGCTGCCCGGCCATGGGGCTTTAATAGAGCTACCTAACGAAGCAGAAGCAGGGCCAGCCCATGGCCTGGTGGTTAACGTGGGTGGGTCCCACCTGGCCCACTTGGCAGTCTCAGTTACAAACCTAGCAGCTTCAGAAATCCCAATGCCCAAAATCCCGAGAAGAGATGGAGGAGAAGGGAATGTGGTCTGTGTTCACCCGGAACCACACTCGGGAACAGGGCTTAAAAGCTTCACTCCAGCAGATGGCATCGCGATTACATTGCTGGACTCCCACATGGTTGACCATGGTTCAAAACCTGGACCCAGTGGCTTGAAACTCACATGGAGCATGTGTGCATGCATGCCCAAGATCCTGGGAGAAGAATGGAGGAGAAAGAATTATGGTGAGGCCATCCCCCTGGGGGGTGGTGATTTCTTACTTTCCTTCTCACTGTCTCTCTTTCTCAGGCAAGCACATGTACTCTAAGGCAAGAAAAAAATCTAAAAAACAAAATAAAACAAACAAACCAAAAAAAAAAAAAAAAAACCACTCACCAGTTATGTCCTGGCCTGGCCTCCAACTTCAAGAGGTTGGGGGTATCAAGCCCAGTACTCTCTAGAAAGATCTGTGGGCAACCATAGCTCCTGCAGAGCACACCGCACCAGCGGGCAAACTGGGGCTGCCTGATACAGACAGACGTGGGAGGCGGAAAAACAACATTCGTTCCTGGCAGATCAGAGGGTTGTCAGGAAAGGTTCTACCTCAGTGACCAGTGAATGCACAAACAAATGAATGAACGAGCATCCCTGAAGCTTTTGTTCAGAAAGATGGGCTACAAGACACATGGTTTCATCGCCAAAGTATTTTGGCCTGTTGCCAGAAGATCCACTCTTCATTTAATCTCATTTAATCCATAAATACAATGTGACACACAGAACAAAACTTCCTGGGCTCGAATTTATTAGAAGTGTAGAAAGGAGGAAAAAAATAAAAAAGTAAAAGCATGTAGTCAGGATTTGCAATTTCCCATTATAAAGAAAAGCTGCTAACATGACATTATTTACTTTCTAAGTAGACGCTGAACTTTTAGCCTCAGACTTTGGCTTACGTCTATGAAACCAAATTTCCCTCTAATGATGTAACCAGTTATTCGATGAGACTGCTTTACAGGGACTTGAATCAGACTAGGAAATAGGTGTGTTGTCTTGCTCCAAAGCAAAGCTGGATAGGCATTCACAGATCCCCTTGGGAGCACCCCACTTACAGAAAATAAAGAAGAAGGAGAAGGAGAAGAGGAGGAGGAGGTAAGAGGGAGTGAGGGAGGGAGGGAGGGAGGAAAGAAGAAAGATCTATTCTGAGCATCGCTTCGGAGATTATTATGCCTTTGTTAGCTGAGTGACTTTGTGTTGCCGGGACACATGACTTTGATCCAAAGCTGTCTCCACACACATTTAAAATAGCAAATGGAACTGAGCTGAGGCAGCCAGAGCCAGGCGTATGCCAACGGATCACACTATAAATAGAGGAAAAGAGAGGAGGGGAGGATGGACAAGGTCAAAGAGACAAAATGCTTTCCTTTCGCACAGACTGGGATTCCCTTTCCCAGGGCGCAGCAGGAAAATGGGTTGCTTCTTGCGTCTTTTTATTGAAGGTTGCTATGGTTCACATGACCTCCTGCATTTTGTTTGTTTGTTTGTTGAGAAATTTTTACTATAGTTTGCCTGTGCTCAATGGAGAGACAGAGATGGAGAGAGAGCAAAGTGAGAAATCACATCACCACCACCCCCCCGGAATGGCCACACTGCAATCTCTTCTCCTCCATTCCCTCGGGGTTTGGGGCATGCATAAACACACACCCAGCATGAGTTTCAAGCTGCTGGATCTGGGACTCAAACCGCATTCAGCCATATGGCAGCCCAGCGCTTTAAACACTACGCCACCTGCTGGCCTCATGACCTCCTGGATTTGAGAGTGGGTTTTTCTGAAGGCCAGGGTTCCCATCTGATTCCGGGGTATGCTTACAGAAGAAAAGCACTCCACGTACTTTGCTTTCTCACCCTGCTCCTGGCAATCAGGCTGCAGCTTGTGGAGCCTCTAATTCCCCATATTAATAAATCCCTTTGAGATTCTGTTGGCGTTAGTTATCGCTTATGTTCCACATGACAGTAGTTTGTTCTATGCCAAAATTAGCCACTATGCAGCGTTTAGGCAAACCTGCGTGTTTGATGCTGAATACAGGAAGTCCCCTCGGGCTACGGGGGGGGGTAGAATCTGGTGTGAATCAATGGTGAGAGGTATTCAGAACTTCAGGTGTTCCTCTTCTCTCTGCTTCACTCATACAGCAGGGAGGAGCAGGAGACTTCTGCAAAATCTTCCTCCAGTTCCTGCGAGTGTACGGTAGGTAACTCTCCCCAGTCATCTGCACCACTCGGCTGCTAGGTGGGTCCCAGCACCCTGTAGCCTTCATTGTCAAGGGCAACACCCCACGCTGACTTCTCTGACTCAGATAGGAGTTCTGCACCCAACAGGAACCTTCCAGAAGCTCCTGGGTACAATTACTTATCTCAATTAGACTCAGGTTTAATAAAGTTAATATTTAATTTATCGCTTAACAGTTGCCGCTCTCCAAACAACGGCTCTGAGGAAGACATTCAGAGTCCATAAATGTTCAACAAGCTCTATCGTGGATATTCTGTATTTAAAACATGAAAAGTAGGTTCTACAATGGAAAAATTAAAAAACTCCGTCCTAATTACATATGCGTTGCTCTAACATTATACCGTAGTTTTTGCCTCGCTGATTGCTGGAGTCTCCCAGTCAGCAGAGAGTCACTGGGGCCAAAGGAGACCAAGGGAAGGGAGCTCTGGGCCTTTGGAACCCCAGCCCTGAGTCAACCACAGTAGTATGTTTCAGCGTTCTGTGGAATATGTTGTGGAGGGCAAAAATAATTCTACAACTAAAAAAATAAAAAGCATGTGTGTGTATGCACACGCACACACACACACACGAAAAGACTTCAAAAAGTTTACAAAAAGATGGAATTAAAACACTAGCTTTTTGTGGTGGTGGTGGTGGTGGTTTTGATTTGCTAGAGAGTACATGAGCTTGATAGAGAGACAGAGAGACAGAGAGAGAGAGAGAACCCCTCATGGGGAGGGTCACACCACCATCCCTTCTCCTCCATTTCTCCTTCCTTTTGGGAGTTTAGGCATGCACTGACATGCCTGATGTGTTTTGTAAGCTGACAAATCTAGGACTTGAACTATGCAGGCGGCTCTGTGGGACCCAACTGCCTCAACCACCAGGCCACTGGCTGGCCCAAAGCGCAAGTTAATTTTGATGGAAAAAAACTTTTTATTTTTGCAGTCCATGCATAATTTTTTCATAATGAGCATTTCCAATGAACTTTTAGAGGTATCCCCATGTATGCATAGATAAACATATGTATATATACATTATTTGTCTGTATTTATAAAAGCATTTGTTGGGACCTGCAGATAGCATCATAGCTACATCGCTGGACTCCCATGTAGTTGACCACAGTTCAAGTCTCAGACCTCGTGGCTTAAACTCACGCTGGGCGCATGTGTGTGCATGCCCAAGATTCCGAGAGGAGAATGGAGGATAAGGGATTGCGATGTGGCTATCCCCCCTGGGGGGTGATTTCTTGCTTTCTTTCTCTGTCTCTCTCTTTCTGGTGAGCACACGCGCCCTATAGCAAAAACCTCTCCCCCAAAAAAGTATTTGTTTTAGGACTGTTTTGTTCATAACTCACTAGAAATTAAACTCAGCTCACTCTAATCACAAACCCAACTCTCCAGCTTACGCACAGGGAAAACATTTTGTCAACTGTTGTGCCAGGAAAGTCAAAGGGTCTTCTGGGTTCACACTTTGGTGAGTGACAGGCATCAAACTCTATCATCAAGATGAGTCTCTCGCCCTCTTTTTCTTTATGACAGAGCAATGCATGTGCACATGACAGTGAGCGCGAGAACAGCATTGTCCTCAGGCTTTGGTCACACTGCGATCTCCTCCTCAGTCCTCCAGACTGTCGGACCTTGGGCACTTGCACATGTGTCCAGTGGGTTTCAGACTACCTGGGAGGGGATTTGAACTAGTTGTCTTGTGGGGTCCAGCTTTGTTTGAGCAGTACATTGCTGCTGTACCATAGAGCCAGCCCTGGCCGCTAATTTTCTCTCCGCTTTCCTCTGTGTTGACTTCATTCTCAGCAGGTACTTTCCTTGTGGTAGCAAAGAGGACCTCAGGATCTCGGGTACAATTACTTATCTCAATTAGACTCAGGTTTAATAAAGTTAATATTTAATTTATCGCTTAACAGTTGCCGCTCTCCAAACAACGGCTCTGAGGAAGACATTAAGAGTCCATAAATGTTCAACAAGCTCTATCGTGGATATTCTGTATTTAAAACATGAAAAGTAGGTTCTACAATGGAAAAATTAAAAAACTCCGTCCTAATTACATATGCGTTGCTCTAACATTATACCGTAGTTTTTGCCTCGCTGATTGCTGGAGTCTCCCAGTCAGCAGAGAGTCACTGGGGCCAAAGGAGACCAAGGGAAGGGAGCTCTGGGCCTTTGGAACCCCAGCCCTGAGTCAACCACAGTAGTATGTTTCAGCGTTCTGTGGAATATGTTGTGGAGGGCAAAAATAATTCTACAACTAAAAAAATAAAAAGCATGTGTGTGTATGCATACGCACACACACACACACGAAAAGACTTCAAAAAGTTTACAAAAAGATGGAATTAAAACACTAGCTTTTTGTGGTGGTGGTGGTGGTGGTTTTGATTTGCTAGAGAGTACATGAGCTTGATAGAGAGACAGAGAGACAGAGAGAGAGAGAGAACCCCTCATGGGGAGGGTCACACCACCATCCCTTCTCCTCCATTTCTCCTTCCTTTTGGGAGTTTAGGCATGCACTGACATGCCTGATGTGTTTTGTAAGCTGACAAATCTAGGACTTGAACTATGCAGGCGGCTCTGTGGGACCCAACTGCCTCAACCACCAGGCCACTGGCTGGCCCAAAGCGCAAGTTAATTTTGATGGAAAAAAACTTTTTATTTTTGCAGTCCATGCATAATTTTTTCATAATGAGCATTTCCAATGAACTTTTAGAGGTATCCCCATGTATGCATAGATAAACATATGTATATATACATTATTTGTCTGTATTTATAAAAGCATTTGTTGGGACCTGCAGATAGCATCATAGCTACATCGCTGGACTCCCATGTAGTTGACCACAGTTCAAGTCTCAGACCTCGTGGCTTAAACTCACGCTGGGCGCATGTGTGTGCATGCCCAAGATTCCGAGAGGAGAATGGAGGATAAGGGATTGCGATGTGGCTATCCCCCCTGGGGGGTGATTTCTTGCTTTCTTTCTCTGTCTCTCTCTTTCTGGTGAGCACACGCGCCCTATAGCAAAAACCTCTCCCCCAAAAAAGTATTTGTTTTAGGACTGTTTTGTTCATAACTCACTAGAAATTAAACTCAGCTCACTCTAATCACAAACCCAACTCTCCAGCTTACGCACAGGGAAAACATTTTGTCAACTGTTGTGCCAGGAAAGTCAAAGGGTCTTCTGGGTTCACACTTTGGTGAGTGACAGGCATCAAACTCTATCATCAAGATGAGTCTCTCGCCCTCTTTTTCTTTATGACAGAGCAATGCATGTGCACATGACAGTGAGCGCGAGAACAGCATTGTCCTCAGGCTTTGGTCACACTGCGATCTCCTCCTCAGTCCTCCAGACTGTCGGACCTTGGGCACTTGCACATGTGTCCAGTGGGTTTCAGACTACCTGGGAGGGGATTTGAACTAGTTGTCTTGTGGGGTCCAGCTTTGTTTGAGCAGTACATTGCTGCTGTACCATAGAGCCAGCCCTGGCCGCTAATTTTCTCTCCGCTTTCCTCTGTGTTGACTTCATTCTCAGCAGGTACTTTCCTTGTGGTAGCAAAGAGGACCTCAGGATCTCTGGCTCTGCAAAGTTCTGTTTTTCTTTTCTTTTTCTCTTTTCTTCTCTCTCCTCCCCTTAGGGCATAAATACTCCCAGGAGAGGGACAGAAAGAAGGAAAGAAATCACCCCCTGGGGGGATGGCCATGGCACAATCCCTTCTCTTCTATTTTCCTCTCAAGATTCTGGGTACACACGTACACGTGCCCAGTGTGATTTTCAACCCACCAATTCTGGGGCTAGAACCTTGGTTGACCACGTGGGAGTACAGCACCTTACTCACCATGCCATCTACTGACCCATTTGCACAGTTCTTGACCATTTGCAATCTCAGGAGAAATAAGAACCTCTCTCTCTATGTCGCCATTCCTCTCAGAAAGCACTCGTGCCCGCTCCATGGCACAGCAGTGATGCACTGCTCAGGAGACATTGGATCCCACGGGGTGACTGTCATTCAGCCCCCAAGCCCAGTCAGCCTGGAACATGATGGCACACACAAGTACCCAGCCGGAGGACAGAAGGAAGGAGATCACCCCTCTCAACACGTGCTCCACCATGAATAAAAACAACAACCACAAAACAAAAAACACTTCCTGATACTCTTCGCCATGAGTCCACTCTTTAACCAGAAGTTCTCTAACTGTCCAGTCTGGGGCGGGGCTAACAGATCTCTGTTCTACTGCCCCCAGAGTAGAAGGTGGCAACAAAAGGAAAGACCGGGTAGAAGAGAAAAGGTAACAGGTACCTACTCATCGCTGAAACAGGTAGGAAACTTTGTTTCACAGTCATAAAAAAACTTTGTTTTGAAATGAAACTTGAAGACAGCAGCCTAAAACCTTTTAATACTTTGCCTATTAAAGCAAAACACAGGCCATCCCACACTTAGTGGTTAAGGAAGTTGGTTACCACATGGCCACCCATGGCTCAAATCCCACCCTGGTGGCTTGAAAAACACACTGGGCATGTGTGCATGAGTGCCCCAAATCCCAACAGGATGGAGAAGTGGAGATGAAGGACTGCGGTGTGTGACCGTGCCCCGCTGGGGTGCCTTCTTCTCTCGGTCTCTGGTTGAGTGCACATGCCCTCTGGCAATAAAAAAACAAACAAATAAAATAAAATTCAGCCAGGAAAGTGGCCTGGTTATGAAGAAGAGACTGTATCTTAAATTTATATATTCATCTAGGTATAATTTAAAGAAACATGTACAACTGAAAGCAAAGATTGAAAAAGTGACCTTCTACCACCACTGACCAAAACAAAACAAAAAAAGCTACACAGGAATAACTTATCCACTTCGGCTTGCTTTCTTCCCCTTCTGTGAGCAACTCAGTCCTAAAGCCTTAGGTGGGCAGAGCAAGGCGGCCGCCATGCTGGTAGGAAGGCCGCGGTGGACAGAGCAGGGTGTCGGGGGTCTATGCATCGAAAGGAGGACATCTGGGTGGAGAGGAGGCTGCCAGTGCAGAGTATCAGTACCCAAGCAGGGTGAGAGGACAGGCCTGTCCTGGGTGAGGAGGACCTCTTCCTGGGGAGGGGACAGGCTGGCATGGACAGCCAAGCCTAGAAGAGGAAAGGGGAAGGGTCCACTTGAGGAAGTGGTTCCTCCTGACCAGGATGAGCAGTACACGCAGATTGAGTGGGGGAAGGAAGGTGTCCACAGGAGGCCAAGTGGCTAAGGCCAGAGACCAGTTATAAACAGTAATTACGTCAGTGGTAGGGAGCCAGGTTCCTCGCACTTTGGATAGGGATGACAAACACAGAAAGGGACAAATTTGTTTCTGTAGCATCTGCAGCATGGGGCTGGAATAAAGGTGGCAGAGAAGAAAAATGTTTCGGTTTCTTTGTTTCATTTGATTGTTTGTGCTATAGGGTACGAGCAGGTGCCAGAGAGAGACAGAGAAAGGGAATGTGAGAAATCACCCCTCAAGGGAGGAGGCCATGATGCAATTCGCTCTGCATTCTCCTCTCAGGATTTTAAGCATGCACACACATGCACCCAGCATGATTTCCAGGCTATCAGGGGCAGGACTTAAACTGTTGTCAGCCATGTGGAAATCCAGCACTTTAATCACCGCACAACCTGCTGGCTCCAAGATAATTTTTTTAAAGACCGACATTCATTGTTACAATCCTTCCAGCTCAGACGCCCAAGTTGCTGGGATTACTGGTGTGTACCACTACACCTGACCTTCGGGTTAGACTGGAATTGAACCAGATTTTCCATGTGGTCCCAGCCTGTGGAGCAGAGGATCTTAGTAGAGCTTGAAACCACAGCTGGGCTGAGAACTTACGGGTTTTCAGATAGATAGATGATAAATTAGATAAATAGGTGATGCGTGGTGGGTAGATCGCTATAACAGATAGACAATAGCTACAGGTGATAGAGATTAGAGCCATTAGACACCCATTTTTTCACAGTTCTGAAGCCCAGAAGTCTGATATCAGATGTTGGCAGGTTTGGGTATTCTGAGGCATATCTCTGGCTGGCAGGTGACAGTCTTCTTGCGATGTCCTTGCATGGTTGTACCCAAGTCTCTGTGTTTCTGGTGTCCTAATCTCTTTTTCCTCTCCTTTCCTTTCCTATCCTATCCTTCCCTTCCTTTTCCCTTCCCTTCCCTTCCTTTCCTTATTTCCTTCTTTTCTTTTCTCTTTCTTCTTTATTTTCAAATTTGCTAAAGGGAGTGTGCACTTATGGAAGACCAACAGAGAGGAAAAGTGATTTCTCACTTCTCATCCCCCCCCGGCCCCCTGGGGGGATGGCAGTAACATCAACAACCCAGTACACAATGTTGGCTTCTGAGGTATCATTCTGCACTGAAGGACTCCAGGGAGCCCTGAGGAAATTGCTAATTTGGGGACTGGGGAGGGGGATTACAAGATGAGCCTACAATACCTTGTGCCTGAAAGGAAGGACCTAAAATGATGGAGACATATGGAAAAAACATAGAGCCACCCTGTAGGGGGCTCCAGGGACCAAATCTGGCACAAATTTACCATCAAAATAATGATGATAATGGATTTTAAGTCATTAAATAAAATAGAAAACCATGAGTCCATACTGTTATAAATAGATAAAGGAATAAGTTGAAAGTTTGGTGAAGGGGACCAGCAGTTGGCATAATGGCTATGTCGCTGGACTCCCATGTAGTCAACCACAGTTCAAGTCCCGGACCCGGTGGCTTAAACTTATGCCGGGTGCTTGTGCGTGAGTGCCCAAGATCCAGAGAGGAGAATGGAGGAGAAGAGATTGAGGCATGGCCATCCTCCCTAGAGGGTGATTTTTTGCTTTCTGTCTCTCTCACTGTCTCTCCAGTGAGCGTACATGCCCAATAGCAAAAATCTCTCCAAGAAAGAAAGAAAGAGAGAGAGAGAAAAGGAAAAAAGAAAAAGAAAAGAAGGACCAACCCAGATGGCTGGATCCCACACTGTTGACTTCACAGTCCAAGTCTCAGACCAGGAGGCTTGAAAAACACTCCAGGTGCTTGTGTGTGTGTGCCCAAACTCCTGAGAGGGGAATGGAGAGAAGGTATTGCCATCCCCCTAGGGGGCCGGGGGGGGGGATGAGAAGTGAGAAATCACTTTTCCTCTCTGTTGGTCTTCCATAAGTGCACACTCCCTTTAGCAAATTTGAAAATAAAGAAGAAAGAGAAAAGAAAAGAAGGAAAAAAAAAAAGAAAAGAAGGAAATAAGGAAAGGAAGGGAAGGGAAGGGAAGGGAAGGGAAAAGGAAGGGAAGGATAGGATAGGATAGGAAAGGAGAGGAAAAAGAGATTAGGACACCAGAAACACAGAGACTTGGGTACAACCATGCAAGGACATCGCAAGAAGACTGCCACCTGCCAGCCAGAGAGATGCCTCAGAATACCCCAAACCTGCCAACACCTGATCTCAGACTTCTGGGCTTCAGAACTGTGAAAAAATGGGTGTCAATTGTCTAAGCAATCTAGACTGCGGTATCGGGTCGTGGCAACTCTAGTAACTAATTCCCACCTTAAACAAGGATCCCAAGTGAACACCCTCAGTAGCAGGACAAATCAAACACACACCAGCCGGTTGGCAGAGACACAAGGCACACAATGCAATTCTCACTATTCCTGCCAAAGATCCATAACCCACATCTACTCGTGAACAACATCAGACACATCTGAACTAAGGGAACTACTGAAAAAATTGGTCTGTGTGGCCAGCAGGTGGTGTGGTGGTTAAAGCGCTGGACGCCATGTAGCTAACCTCAGTTCAAATCCCAGACCACACAGCTTGAAAATCACGCCCGGTGCACGTGTGTGCTCATAATCCCAAGAAGAGAATGGAGGAGAAGGGATTGCAGCCTGGCCAGACCTCTGGGGGAAGGGGGTACATTCTCATTTTCTTTCTCTCTCTGGAGAGCTCCTGCCCCCTATGATAGAAACCTACATAAAGAAAGAAACTGGCCTGTAATTCTCACAATTGTCCAGGTGGGGTTGATTGAAGAATAATCCCAAATTCACCCACTCGTCTGATAAATACTGTTCGAGCTTAGAGCGTGGTGGGGTGTTCATGAAATAAACATGTAATCTTCATGAGTGAGTTTGCTCATGGCAAAGGGGCTGGGAAGTGACAGTAACGCCTGCATCCCTATGTTACAGTACCCGGCATTATGGCATAATTGGTTTGTAGCCCGTCCTGATAGTAGTCCACTTTCTTAAGACATAAGTTTATTCCTTTTTTTTTTTTTAAGAGAGATTTTTGCTATAGGATACGTACACTTGCCGGAGACAGAGAAAGGCAGAGAGAGAGAAAGTGAGAAACCACTCCAGGGACATAGCCACACTGCAATCCCTTCTCCTCCATTCTCCTCTTGGGTTTTGGGTTCACACACCCAAGTGTGGGGAGTGTGAACTCCCCACCAGGTCCAGAACTCAAACCACAGTTGACCATGTGGGAGTCCAGTGCCTTGACCACCACGCTCCCTGCTGGCCCAGTTTATTCCTTGCATCCCATGGACTTTGGTGTTGGAAAAACTCTTGCCCAGAAAACAGAGATAACATCTCATTTCTGCCTGGCCCAAGACTGCCTGGCATCCGCTTAATGGATTAGAAACGCTCGGCTTTCTTACCGCTTCTCATGTCTTTCCCATAAAATATCCAGAAGTCCCTGATGTGTGGAGAGGTAGGTTTTGGAGAGTCTTGAGCTCTGCTGTCCTCCTGGACAGATGTCTTTCTGATAATAAGCTTTTCTCTGTGAAAACACCACTTGTCTTGACGTTGGCCTTTGAGCAATGAGAGATTAGACCTGCTTTCGGTAGCAGCTGGGGCTGCAATTTCGGGTAGACTGGCCAGGGCAGATCTTCAAGGAGAGGGTATTTGAGCAAACAAGTCACACCTGGAAAGGAGTTTTTACAAATACCCATTGACTAGAAGATCCGTACAAGCTGAAGGAGTGGATATCAAGGCCCTGAGTCAGAAATACACCTTTGTTTCATAAAAGAACAAAAAGGGCCAGCACAGAAGCACAATGGTTAAGGGCACCCTGCCACATGGCCACCGTAGTTCAAATCCCAGGCTTGGTGGCTTCAAAAACACACTGGGCACATGTGCGTGTGTGCCTCCAATCCTGACAGGATGGAGAGATGGGGGTAGCAGCATGCCTATGCCCCACTGATAGGGTGCTTTTTCTTTAAAAAAAAAAAAACCCAAAAACCAAAAAGTCTTAGGGCTAGAAGTTGGAGGAGACTGGTTAGGGAAGGAATATAAAAATCAGGCAGAAGGAGGGCCCAGCAATCAGAATTT